CCCCTATATACCGCCTCCTCATGCTGCTGCCAAGTCCAGATCTCTCATGGGTCCCCTGTACGGCCTCCCATTGCTGCTGTCTCCATCGCCACACTCTGCTGCCATGTGCCACTTTCAGGTCTCTTCACACTGCTGGTGTGTTAAATTTTTTGACATAGGGTGCAGGCAGATTACGGGCCTCACATAGCTGCTGCCAGGCCCCTAATCTGCCATGGGCCCCTATATACCGCCTCCTCATGCTGCTGCCAAGTCTGAGAGTCTCTCATGGTCCCTGTACGGCCTCCCATTGCTGCTGTCTCCATCGCCACACTCTGCTGCCATGTGCCACTAGGTCTCTTCACACTGCTGTAAATTATATTATTATTGTGTTTAAATTTTTTGACATAGGGGCAGGCAGATTACGGGCCTCACATAGCTGCTGCCAGGCCCCTAATCTGCCATGGGCCCCTATATACCGCCTCCTCATGCTGCTGCCAAGTCTAGAGTCTCTCATGGGTCCCTGTACGGCCTCCCATTGCTGCTGTCTCCATCGCCACACTCTGCTGCCATGTGCCACTTTCAGGTCTCTTCACACTGCTGGTGTGTTTAAATTTTTTTGACATAGGGTGCAGGCAGATTACGGGCCTCACATAGCTGCTGCCAGGCCCTAATCTGCCATGGGCCCCTATATACCGCCTCCTCATGCTGCTGCCAAGTCCAGAGTCTCTCATGGGTCCCTGTACGGCCTCCCATTGCTGCTGTCTCCATCGCCACACTCTGCTGCCATGTGCCACTTTCAGGTCTCTTCACACTGCTGGTGTGTTAAATTTTTTGACATAGGGTGCAGCAGATTACGGGCCTCACATAGCTGCTGCCAGGCCCCTAATCTGCCATGGGCCCCTATATACCGCCTCCTCATGCTGCTGCCAAGTCCTAGAGTCTCTCATGGGTCCCTGTACGGCCTCCCATTGCTGCTGTCTCCATCGCACACACTGCTGCCATGCCATGTGCCACTTTCAGGTCTCTTCACACTGCTGGTGTGTTAAATTTTTTGACATAGGGTGCAGGCAGATTACGGGCCTCACATAGCTGCTGCCAGGCCCCTAATCTGCCATGGGCCCCTATATACCGCCTCCTCATGCTGCTGCCAAGTCTAGAGTCTCTCATGGGTCCCTGTACGGCCTCCCATTGCTGCTGTCTCCATCGCCACACTCTGCTGCCATGTGCCACTTTCAGGTCTCTTCACACTGCTGGTGTGTTAATTTTTTGACATAGGGTGCAGGCAGATTACGGGCCTCACATAGCTGCTGCCAGGCCCCTAATCTGCCATGGGCCCCTATAACCGCCTCCTCATGCTGCTGCCAAGTCCAGAGTCTCTCATGGGTCCCTGTACGGCCTCCCATTGCTGCTGTCTCCATCGCCACACACTGCTGCCATGTGCCACTTTCAGGTCTCTTCACACTGCTGGTGTGTTAAATTTTTTGACATAGGGTGCAGGCAGATAACGGGCCTCACATAGCTGCTGCCAGGCCCCTAATCTGCCATGGGCCCCTATATACCGCCTCCTCATGCTGCTGCCAAGTCCAGAGTCTCTCATGGGTCCCTGTACGGCCTCCCATTGCTGCTGTCTCCATCGCCACACTCTGCTGCCATGTGCCACTTTCAGGTCTCTTCACACTGCTGGTGTGTTAAATTTTTTGACATAGGGTGCAGGCAGATTACGGGCCTCACATAGCTGCTGCCAGGCCCCCTAATCTGCCATGGGCCCCTATATACCCCGCCTCCTCATGCTGCTGCCAAGTCTAGAGTCTCTCATGGGTCCCTGTACGGCCTCCCATTGCTGCTGTCTCCATCGCCACACTCTGCTGCCATGTGCCACTTTCAGGTCTCTTTCACACTGCTGGTGTTTAAATTTTTTTTGACATAGGGTGCAGGCAGATTACGGGCCTCACATAGCTGCTGCCAGGCCCCTAATCTGCCATGGGCCCCTATATAAAACCCCGCCTCCTCTCATGCTGCTGCCAAGTCTAGAGTCTCTCATGGTCCCTGTACGGCCTCCCATTGCTGCTGTCCTCCATCGCCACACTCTGCTGCCATGTGCCACTTTCAGGTCTCTTCACACTGCTGGTGTGTTAAATTTTTTGACATAGGGTGCAGAAGGCAGATTACGGGCCTCACATAGCTGCTGCCAGCCCCTAATCTGCCATGGGCCCCTATAATACCGCCTCCTCATGCTGCTGCCAAGTCTAGAGTCTCTCATGGGTCCCTGTACGGCCTCCCATTGCTGCTGTCTCCATCGCCACACTCTCTGCCATGTGCCACTTTCAGGTCTCTTCACACTGCTGGTGTGTTTTAATTTTTTTGACATAGGGTGCAGGCAGATTACGGGGCCTCACATAGCTGCTGCCAGGCCCCTAATCTGCCATGGGCCCCTATATACCGCCTCCTCATGCTGCTGCCAAGTCCAGAGTCTCTCATGGGTCCTGTACGGCCTCCCATTGCTGCTGTCTCCATCGCCACACCTGCTGCCATGTGCCACTTTCAGGTCTCTTCACACTGCTGGTGTGTTTAATTTTTTGACATAGGGTGCAGGCAGATTACGGGCCTCACATAGCTGCTGCCAGGCCCCTAATCTGCCATGGGCCCCTATATACCCCCGCCTCCTCATGCTGCTGCCAAGTCTAGAGTCTTTCTCTCATGGTCCCTGTACGGCCTCCCATTGCTGCTGTCTCCATCGCCACACTCTCTGCTGCCATGTGCCACTTTCAGGTCTCCTTCACACTGCTGGTGTGTTAATTTTTTGACATAGGTGCAGGCAGATTACGGCCCTCACATAGCTGCTGCCAGGCCCCTAATCTGCCATGGGCCCCTATATACCGCCACCTCATGCTGCTGCCAAGTCTAGAGTCTCTCATGGTCCCTGTACGGCCTCCCATTGCTGCTGTCTCCATCGCCACACACTCTGCTGCCATTGCCCACTTTCAGGTCTCTTCACACTGCTGGTGTGTTTAAATTTTTTGACATAGGGTGCAGGCAGATTACGGGCCTCACATAGCTGCTGCCAGGTCCCCCTAATCTGCCATGGGCCCCTATATAACCGCCTCCTCATGCTGCTGCCAAGTCCAGAGTCTCTCATGGGTCCCCTGTAACGGCCTCCCATTGCTGCTGTCTCCATCGCCACACTCTGCTGCCATGTGCCACTTTCAGGTCTCTTCACACTGCTGGAGTGTTAAATTTTTTGACATAGTGCAGGCAGGACAAGATTACGGGCCTCCCATAAGCTGCTGCCAGGCCCCTAATCTGCCATAGGCCCCTATATAACCGCCCTCCTCATGGCAGCTGCCCAAGTCCAGAGTCTCTCATGGGCCCTGTACGGCCTCCCATTGCAGCTCTCTCCATCCGCCACCCTACTGCTGCCATAATGCCACTTTCAGGTCTCTTCACACTGCTGGTGTGTTAAATTTTTGACATAGGGTGCAGGCAGATTACGGGCCTCCCATAGCTGCTGCCCCAGGCCCCCTAATCTGCCATAAGGCCCCTATATACCGCCACCGCCTCCTCAGCTGCTGCTAGGTCCAGAGTCTCTCATGGGTCCCTGTATACGGTACGGCCTCTCCCATTGCTGCTGTCCTCCATCGCCACACTCTGCCATGTGCCACTTTCTTCCAGGTCTCCGTCACACTGCTGGTGTGTTTAAATTTTTGACATAGGGTGGCTGGCAGATTACGGGCCTCCCATAGCTGCTGCCAAAGCCCCTAATCTGCCATAGGCCCCTATAGTAACCCGCAGCCTCCTCATGCTGCAGCTGCTAGGTCCAGAGTCTCTCATGGGTCCCTGTACGGCCGTCCCCATTGCTGCTGTCTCCATCGCCACACTCTGCCATGTGCCACTTTCAGGTCTCCTCACACTGCTGGTGTGTTGAATTTTTTGACATAGGCGTGCTGGCAGATTACGGCCTCCCATTGCTGCTGCCAGACCATGTAATCTGCCATGGGCCCCCGTACCGACTCCTCATGCTGTGGACGTTGCAACAAGGTGTAATTCAACCCTACATATGTTAGACCGCCTTTACGAACAGCTAAAGGCCATCACAGATTTCCTGATGTTAAAAGCGGATAAAGGTACTCCCTGTGTAACTTAGATGTCAGCCATTGTCAGCTCATGTGTGACACCTGCGCTTGCTCAGGCCCTTTTGAGGAGGCCACGCTATTCGTGAGTCGGCAGGACTATGGGATGAATGAGGTCAAATCGGCCATGGGCCCCCCCGTACCGCCTGTTCACGCAGCTGATGCTGGTCCCACAGTGTGACCTGGGTCCCTGTACGGCCTCCCAATTGCTTCCACTCTGCCATGTACCTCTTTTGAAATCTCCTCACACTCCTGCGTTGTCCATTTTGTCATAGGTGCTGGCAGATTTAGCGGCAAGCGGCCTCGGCCATAGGTGCCGCCAGGCCCCAAATATCGGCCATGGGCCCCCGTACCGCCTGGTCACGCTGCTGCTGGTCCCACAGTGTGACCTGGGTCCCTGTACGGCCTCCATTGCTGCTGCCAGGAGGCAGCAGGGTCGCAGCTGTGTCAGTGGAGGCAAACGGCCACGGAGTAGAGCAGCAGCTCCACTGCAGCCTACCACCACAGCCATAGTGGTGCCGGTGTGCACGGAGGAAGTAGCAGTCAGCCAGTGAGGAGTAGCGGGTGCAAAGTTTCCTACTCGGCCGGTGTGGCAAGTATTTCGTCAAGCCGCACCGAGGAAGTAAACGTAGCCGTATGTCGACTATGGTGGCCAGAAAAGTCAAGCGTGGCCAGGGGGCCCACTGTTGGGACTACAGCGTTTGCGTCAGCATATGCAGCGTCGCCATTCGGTGGCCATGTGAAGAAAAACGTGATAAAGAATACGGCGGTTCTTGCCTGCCCCAGCCCAGGGTTCCATTTTGTCATAGGGTGCTGGCAGATTAGCGGCCTTCCATAGGTTACGCCAAGGGCCCCATATCGGCCATGGGCCCCCGTACCTCCTGGTCACGCTGCTGCTGGTCCCACAGTGTGACCTGGGTCCCTGTACGGCCTCCCATTGCTTCCACTCTGCCATGTGCCACTATTTGAGGTCTCCTTACACTCCTGCGGTTTTCCATTTTGTCATAGGTTGCTTGCAGATTAGCGGGCCTTCCATAGGTGCCTGTGAATAGCCCAGGCCCCATATCGGCCATGGGGCCCCCTTACCAACCCTCCTGGTCACGCTGCTGCTGGTCCCACAGTGTGACCTGGGTCCCTGTACGGCCTCCCATTGCTTCCACTCTGCCATGTGCCACTTTGAGGTCTCCTACACTCCAGCGGTTTTTCCATTTTTGTCATAGGTTGCTGGCAGATTAGCGGCCTTACCCATAGGTGCCGCCAGGCCCCATATCGACCATGGGCCCCCGTACCTCCTGGTCACGCTGCTGCTGAGCCCACAGTGTGACCTGTGTCCCTGTACGGCCTCCATTGCTCCACTCTGCCATGTGCCACTTTGAAATCTCCTCACACTCCTGCGGTTGTCCATTTTGTCATAGGTTGCTGGCAGATTACAGGCCTTCCATAGGTGCCACCAAGCCCCATATCGGCCATGGGCCCCCGTACCGCCTGTCACGCTGCTGCTGGGCCCACAGTGTGACCTGGGTCCCCTGTACCGCCTCCCATTGCTCCCACTCTGCCATGTGCCACTTTCAGGTCTCCTCACGCTCCTGCTGGTTTCCATTTTGTCATAGGTTGCTGTATGGCCTCCCATTGCTGCTGCCTCCACCGCCACACTGTGGCTCCAAACACTGGTTTTTGGCCCCGTGACTGGCCAAAGGAGTGAAGTGTGCAGTGATTCTAAGATCGACGGCACTCATCTGCATGTCATACTGACAGACAGTATTATTTCTCTTCCCCAGCAGACTCCAAGGGCATTTAAATTAAAGGTACAGTGTTCTGCACTAATATTAAGTCTCTCTGAAGCCTAGAAACACCCTATTTTTTTAAGTTAAATTCACAGCGAATTTATTCGACTCGAATCGAATATTGTCCACGAATTCGCCTTGGATACACAGAATAAAACTGGATACTAACATTTATAGGTAAATAAATGGGAATATCTGATTGCCTCTCGGGGATCAGGAAGGCATTTTTTTTCCCTGCAGGAGCAAATTGGATCATCCTTTGCTGGGTTTTTTTGCCTTCCTCTGGTTCAACTGAGTGTATAGGTTTATAACTTTTTTTTTAAATGGTTGAACTGGATGGACTTTTGTTGTTTTTCAGCCAGACTAACTATGTAACTATGACAAAAACATGTGCAGTGGACCTGGCGTTTTGGTGTTCTATTGTACTGATGTGCTTGCATATACTGGTGTTTGTGAGTATAACATTTGCATTTACTATATTAATAAATGATATATGAAGATTTTATTTTTATAGTGCTAAATCTGAAAATGAACATAATTTAAAAAAAATTTTAGCTCCCATATGATGACCTATATTTATTTAAAAAAATAATATTTGCAACAAATGAGCTATTGTTTTCTCCTTCATCTGTATAACTGCAATAAAATGTGATTAATTTCAAGGTAAAGGTAGCAGCAAAACTCACAGGCACTATGGGTTTGATTTACTAAAGGCAAAAAGGCTGTTTGCTTTGCAAGGAAAGTTGCACTTTGCATGGAATTTTTCACCCAATCATGTGTAAAATAAAAAAACATAATTTTTGCTTGTACATGATTGGATGCCAGCAGAGCTCCACCTGATTTACAAAGCTTTGTGGCAAATTAATGTGCAAAGTGCAACTTCCCTTGCAAACAAAACAATGTATTTGCCTATAGTAAGTCATCCCTTATGTTTGATGTTCAAACATACCTAGGAACCATGAGTCTCACACTCCTATAGGTAGATTTTGACTGTTGCCTGATAGACCTCTGATTCTTGTACATGGCTTCATTGTATGGCCTATGACAATTCAACATGGACCCAAGGCACCCACCCCTCCCATTGCCTTACCTATTTGGTTTCCTTTCTCAACCATATATATCCTCTCTGAACTGCTTAGGTCCTTCCTATATTTGGTTCCACCATCTAGACCTTGTGCTGGTTATTTTGGCACTTTGCACTTCTGATGCCTTGACGGGGATGTATGCAATGTTATATCCATGTACAACATGGAACCAGTAATGCAAATGTTCTATTATATGTATTCTTTCAATAAAAAAATTATCAAGAACATTTGGTTTTGTGTCTCCAAAGGGAGAGGTCTTCCTATCAGAATTTATAGGTTTTATAATCTGCTGTAATCTTTACAAGGCTTACAATGAACATGTACTGATCACAAAAAGCTAAAATAAATTGTGCTGAAAATTCAGCAGATTTCCTGTTATACCTTTCTTTTGTCACATTACCCCATGCAGCATGCAACCGGACCTTGTAATTCTTTTTCATGTAAAGACTTTTTAAGGGCTAGTTTACACTAGATGCAGTCCAGTGCATTTGTTTTCTGCATCAAAAATGCATGCAGTGTTTTCCATGTATTCCAATGGCCCTAGTTCACACCAATGCAGTCAGTTCCAGTCAGTTTCTGGTGCAGAAAAAAAAGTAGAACATGCTGCATTTTTCTGCTCAGAACCATACTGGAACATAGTAAACTGCATCAAAACTGCACCGGAATGGAGTGTGGTGTGAACTGTAAGCAAAAATGTATCCGGAATGCATCTGGAGCGCATTGTTGTGGTATCAATTGGCCCTAAGAGATTTTTTAACCTTATTCATCTATCTTATTACGCAGCGTAAAAAAAAAATATATATATTTTTAGCGCAAATTACATGTTTTATGCATATTTATGGATTAGCACATTCATAATTTTTAGTTGATAAAATGGATTTATGTGCATTTTTATATATTGATCTGTGTATATGCGTAAATTATGCCAGTAAGGTCCTGAATGCAGATTTGGGGTATTTTTTTATGTTCCTGAACGCTGCTCTAAGATACAAATATAAACACCAAAATATGCATGGACACATTGACTAAATAAAACTGCATTCATAAAAGAAAATAAAAAAAAAGTTAAAAATGCCTTAAAAAGTGCAATTTTTCTTCCCATGTGCATGAGGCTCTAGGCTCTGCTACCCCACTTCCCACTATAGTGCTCACACTTGTCAACTGTCCACTGCCTTGTATTGGTGACCATGCTCTATGTATTCTTGCAATACATAGAAATTTCTGTATTTTGGGAGCATTGGCAGTATGCAGTGAGGGGTGAGGTGACCTATGGTACCTTCTCTTTACCACTACCTTTATTTTGTATTTTCTACATAGTGAGCAAAGGAATTGGCCTATAATACTTACACAGCTTGTATTTAGAGCATTTGCCTTTTTTGGTTGTATAGGTAAAGCCCATTAGGTTCCACAGTGAGTATAACAAGCATGCTTTACTGCATATACAGACTAATTTTACTGTTGTGGGTTTAGTAACAGTTTAATTTAATATAAATATACAGAAATATAAAGCATGTTATTACTTCTCTGTAATGCAAACTTGCGTATTTACTAAAGAAAATTAATTTTCTAGTTACATCCTTATAAATGATATATAAAAAGATATTTGTGTAATACTTAGAGTCAGGGGCGGACTGACAACTCATGGGGCCCCCGGGTAATAGGGGATCATGGGGCCCCTGTGTCCTTGCCCAAATGCAAAAAAGCCTATGAAAAAGGTACCAGGGGCATCTCATGGGGCCCCCTACTGACCCCGGGCCCTCGGGCAGTACCCGAGTTTCCAAATGGTCAGTCCGCCCCTGCTTAGAGTGTAAAATATGTGAAAAAACACATTCCAATATGTATGTGTGTAAAATTCAGCAGATGTACGCACTGTCACGTAGATAGCAGTAAATACGACTACATGATTGCCAGAGGATACATTCTTAGTCACTCCCATATAACAGTTCCCAGTCTATCCGCCCATCTACTTTATACTTATGATGGACCTCATGTGTCAGGCATTCAGTAAATAATCTTCTCTAGCAAGAGGTGAATATTGATTTTACAGTATATTTTTGAACTACACATGACACCTTTCATACAAGTAGAGCTCAGGGGACATCACCTCCCTGCCCCTGCTCACTTGAGCAAGCATCCCTTAATAAAATAAGTCATTTTCTCCCAGCGATCCTTGTTTGCAGAGCAAGGCTTTTAATACCCCCTCCCTTAATTTGTAGTCACTAGACTTTTGCCAATGGCCGACCATTCATCTGCAGCTGTCATATATGCCTTTTCACTAAGTGCCTTTAAACATGACTTGTTTAAAATAGGAACCAAATAACTGCAGACCTGTCAGTGCAATCTAAACAAGTACATGCATAATTGTAACGGTCCCACCAAAAATAATAATATATATTTTTAAGTTGCTTCTTGTAAAGTTGCTTCTAAAAGCTTAACACTTTTAATGTAACAGCTAATGCACTATAAAAAAGTGGAATTTTAGGGATTAGGTCTATACTGAGAAGACCTGGGAAACAGTTTGTAAGAAAGTAATACTTAGTCTAGAACTGGAAGTATTGGAATACCTTGTAGTGGGAAAGTGTGTACATTAATAATAAAAGAGTTGCTTTGTCAGTGTGCCATATAGTTGTATGAGGTCAGTATATGTTGTGAGGCTGGCATGCATCTTGCTATATGAGCTACAGTCACCTCATCTATTACAGGGATGTTAAAACTTTGGAAATTTGCTCACTGATATTTTTGTAACTAATGTTTTCCTCTGTTTATTTTATCTTGGCATTACTAACTTTATATTACGCGAGCCAGTTATTTACTCCAACGGTAAGACTGTTAGCCTCTAAGACCAAATAAAATGTAATGTTTATCAATTTGTACATGATATTATAATGAAAATTCAACAAAAGTTTCATTCAAGCTTGGCATAAGGTAAGTTCTTTTATGTATATTGGTTCTAGAAAAGTTAGTCCAGGGCTAAGTTCACCAGGAAGTCATATTATATTCATTTATTATATTAATTTATGTTACACTGACAAGTTCCTTAGAGTCTTACAAAGTACTTTGGCCCTTTACATTAATTCCCCAAAGGAGCTTACAATCTAACGCATGTAACTGTCTGCCACAGTCAAACAACCTATCATGTTTTTTATGTGATGTGATGATAATAGATCTTCTAAAGAAAATCCATGTAAATATATGGAAAATTGACAAATTCCATATAGATTGTTGGGATTGTATATTAAACAAGTTGAGAGTTTTCACACAATAAATTGTGTGAATATTCACATCAGTTATCCAAACATGCAAAAAGCAAATTTCTATTCTCTTAGATTGTAAGCTCCAAGGAGCAGGGCCCTCCTAACCCTCTGGTATTGAACTGTATTGTTGCAGTATTGTCTCCCATTATATTGTCAAGAATTGACTTTTCACATTATTAGATATTTAAAATGAATATTCACACAATTTATTGAGTGAAGATTCTCAGCTCCTTTAGTTAATCTACCTCCTTGTCTCTGATATTTATTTATTTATTACAGGTAGGGGCGGACTGACAAGTCATGGGGCCCCCGGGCAATAGGGGATCATGGGGCCCCTGTGTCCTTGCCCACACTCAAATCAATCACACCCAAAAAAGCCTATAAAAGGTACCAGGGGCATTTTTTGGGGCCCCCTACTGACCCCGGGCCCTCAGGCAGTGCCCGAGTGCTCGAATGGTCAGTCCGCCCTTGATTACAGGTAGAGTACAGGTACAGGTAGTGCCGTCAATTTACAAAACGCTTTACATAAATACATGTATCGCTACCCCCTTAGGTGTTGCTGAAGATTTGAGTCCCCCT